CAGTTTTCGCTCTATATCTGTGGTGCTTATTTTTTTAAAAAGTAGAGATTTTTAAGTATCATTATAACTAAAACAAGAAGATGCAAAAAACGAGCTCGAGAGTCAGAGACACATCCTCATAGAGGTACAGGCAATGCTCTAACTTTATTCCAAAAATACACACATTATCAAGGGTCCTACAGGGTTCACACGCTCTATTCTAACTTTCTATTGGTTACATTCACTTTCACACACTATATCTATAACTTCATTGGCTCTACTAGCCAAGGTACATTTTCAGGCCCCCCCATCTTCTGGTTTCTCACACCCTGGATAACAACATCCTTCCTTGTTTTCCTCTATGCAGCTTTCTGATATCTGCTGCTCAAGGACACACATCTGCTGCTGGAGAACACAGGTCCCTACCGTCCAGCACGCAGGCCGAATTGTGCAAGCAGGCCTGATGCAGTATATGTCCTGCATCATCTAAGATTTTCTCAACATATAACCACCTTCCTAGTTTTTTCTTTGAGATTTTAATGTTCATTTCTAGTGTCATTCCCAGTTATAGACAATTCTGGAAAAAATATTTTTGATACAGCTATTTTAAAATAAAATTTAAGCAAAATAAAACATTGCATGTATGGATGACCAGAAAATATTCTCTTTGCAGTAAAATTGAATTTTAATGTGAATCACAAAAAAAGCATTTTGTCCTGAAAAAAAACTATATGTGTAAGATTGCTGACATTTTCTGATGAACATAATTTTGGTGTAAAATTCTCAGATAGTTAAACTGATTAACATTTCTTGCTAATGTTTTCTAAATCTGAAAAGAGAATTATATCACAAGAGACAGCAACTTTTAGTCATAAGATATAACATCTAAATCCACTTTAGCTGGAGATATACCTGAAGTTGTATACATCTTTATCTGGATCACTGCTCACAGTACAAATGTTTCTCTACAATAAGCAAACAACTTCTACATGAAACATTTTCAATTGTATTAGGAATAGGATCAACACTATGTCTTCTGCTGCAGACTGTAACAGCTCCCTCTAACAGCTACTAATCTCTGCAGAACAGACCTCTCAGACACAGAAAGCAGCAGTATCCCAAAAGCAGAAGCAATCATAGTGGCATAAGTCACACTCATTAAATCCAAATAGCCACAGTTTCAATACAATTCTATTTCAGTTCAAATTTCCAGTCCTCGAGCAACTGAAGCATAGCCTTTGGAGCATGTATTGATATGAGCATGTGTCCTAGTTAGGACAACTGAGACCAGTTCATCATGGCATGAGTGTAACCCAAAACTGTGTATTCTATAGCCTTCCATGCCATTTCCCAGAAACTGTTGTCAACAGACTATTCGCACCCTCTGCCCATAGAGCCTGACTCCTCAGGCTATAAACTAGGTGTTAAGAGGCCTGTGAGATAGGAGGATGCTCTTGTCCTCACACCCTTTGTGGAACTCCCCGCCCTGAAGGAAGCACTGAGCATTTCTGCCTGAACTGGAGGATATATAATCTTGGAGTCTTGGAACATTTTTCAACCACTCTGTGGGATCCAGAGAAAGACTGCAACAGCTCTTCCCCCAGCATCTCACTGCAATCACCACTTTGACCAGACTGCAACAGCTCTCCCACCAGCAGGTTCTTCCCCTCTCCCTTTACTTTGGACTCAAGCGGGGCCCAAGGAACACCACGTTGTTCATGCCCCAGGGTACTGGGTTATACATTTGGGTTTTGTGGGTTAAGACCAATTGTTTGTTTGATTGATTGTACTACTGTATTATTTTAGTAAATTGTTATTCTGACTTATAATCTCTCCTTTGAGTTGAGTTCATTTCCCCTGCTGGTTAACTCTTAAACCAGCACAGCATGATATTCAAACTCAGCTTTTACACCTGAAGTGTCAGTGCTCATGTTCATTTTAATCATTTATGACCATTTGCTATTGCTTCAATAAGCCTCACAGGTCTTTTATTTTTTGTGGACTTCAGAATACAGTGAGGTGTCAAACCTAATTTTTCTCACAGCTCCTGCATGCCAGTATTTTACCATCAGAGGATATATTGAACTGAATCATTATGCTATTTCCATCACCAAAATGAAAAAAAAAATTCTGTAGGGTATCCTCATCTTCAAACAGATGGTAAACGTTTCTAAGAAATGCAAAACAGTGTAGTTCAATAGCACAAGGTACTGCAGAGTTTCATGATCATTATATGTTTTGTTCTTGAAGTTGTACTTTACGGTAATTGCTTACAAAAGTTATGAAAATGCCAAGTCATGTTGGAACAAAACAGGAACTTACTTTGCAACATGACCTCAACTTGCCAATTACATGTAAATTTTTGCTATCAATTCCTGCAGGTGTTGGTTAATTTACTGTCAGCGCCTCCATCCCAGCACCTTCATTCAAAGCTGGTGAACTTCATTTGGTGGAGAGCCACAGCCACAGTAAGAATTCATGAGAAAAATTCTACATGTGCACACCTGAGTATGTGCACACGAGTGTGCCTATGTGTGTGCGAGCAATCAGGACTCCCTAGAGCATGAGTTGCTGAGAGGTGGTTTAACGCCTCCTCCTACAGGTTTTGGCAGACTTGGACCAGCTCTGTCACAGCCTGGTAAATGTCACCCTCTGTGGTAGTGAGCCTCACAAACCCGCATCCCCACTGTCAGCACTGCAGATGATAAGCCTCTGGCAGAGGGACAGGGTTAGGCAGCTCAGGGAGAAGCACCTGAGATTTTTCCGGAGATTATTGCAGTGACCAAATCTGCAGGAATCCTGCTACCAAATATTTCTTTGGAAAAGGAAAAAAGTTGTCAAAGTTATACAGAGCAAAGTCATCATCATCATCATCATGGCTGGGCTTCGTGAACGAAGATTTGGGAAGGGCTCTACCCACGTTTGTTGCAAGTGCGCTGGTGGCTAAAAAGGCCAATACGAGACAGGCATGTCTGATTGCAAAAGGCACAGCAGAAAGACTCCTTAGGTGGTATATTCTGCAAGGCACGATTCTTTCTGCGTTGTCTTTTCTCCTCAAGAGTGACCCTGCGTGCGTTCTCAAAGGCATCAGCAGCGTTATAGATGGTGTGTCTCCAGACCTCCCGATTGGAGGCCAGAGTAGACCAGTTATGTTGATCAATATGGCCAAGGCCGAGATGTTGTTTCAGGGAGTCCTTGTATCTTCTCTTCGGGGCTCCTCTCTTGCAGCAGCCGGTGGCAAGTTCACCATAGAGCAGGATCTTAGGGAGGCGGTGGTCCTTCATCCTGGAGACGTGCCCTGCCCAGCGCAGCTGTGTTCTCAGCAACATGGCCTCAATACTTGTGACAGCTGCTTGTTCTAGAACAGATGTATTGGTCACATAATCTGACCAGTGGATGTTTAGGATCGAGAAGAGACAGCGCTGGTGGAAGCGTTCTAGGAGTCGCAGGTGGTGGCGGTAGATGACCCATGATTCGGATCCACACAAGAGAGTAGACAACACTATGGCCGGGGGGGGCTGAGCTCCTGCCCGCGCTGCACGCTGGAGGGGGAAGACCGTGCACCCGCCCACGCTGCACCACAGGACAAAGTAATACCTCTAAAAATGCAGGCCCTTGGTCTCACCTTAGGGGTGTGCTACTAGGAAAAACACTCTTAAAGAGTTCTTGATTATATAGTAATTGGTTATACTAGTAATTGGAAATTAAGTAAATACTTAAGTACTTAATAGAGCATTATGTTGAATGGTTAAGTACATATCCTCGTAGCTAATGGAATCTGTGCACTTTCAGCTCATTGGTATCTATGTGGGCCCTTCAAAGATGGTATGTACAAATTCATCTTTCAAGTTCAGGTGGCGGATGAGGGGCTGGGAGAGAAGTTGAGATGCGAGAGAGCAGACGGGAGGAGATCAAGAATGTCATTAACCTTATAATAGATTAAAGTAGTTCTCCTGTCATCACACACCAAACAGATCTCCAGTGATAGCTTGAACACCGAGAACTGAGGATTGTGAAAGTTCTTACATCTTCACTGACAGGAAGTTTCTATACTAATTATTCCAGTTACAGCTTTTAAAACATTAGGCATTGTTCCCCTAAGGCAAATAATTGCATATATGAATTTGTCAATATTTTTGATAATCATACCAATTCTGTCTTGCATTTTATGTATTACAGAAATTATATATTGATATATCATAATCAGAGTTTTAAAATATGTATTGTCCAAACATGCAAAGAGATACCTAATTTTCTTACCATTTTCAAAAGTATTAATACTGGAGTTTACATATGCACATGCCTGTGTATGTTGGCAAGGGCAGTGATATAACCTCTGTGTAAATAGTTGTAATATAATGAAAAAAAGTAGAGATCAAGGTAAGACAAAAATCATGCTGCTAGGAGGTAGCATCAAGCTTGCTATTGAAGTGCTGCTGCTTTGACTGGTTTTTTCTCTACAGTTTTGCAGACAACAGAAGACAAGTGAAGTTACTGGAGCAGCAAATAAACAAGAAATAGAAAGGATAAGATCAAACCACAACTTATCCTGAAAGGAGATAGCCAATGTATTTCTGTTTCTTGTGAAAGTCAAAGCTCATGGGCAAAATATCACACGTACCGAAGATGTGTCTGCATAGTTCCATGTGCATACAAAGTTACATGTAGAAGTTTCATGTGACAAGATGTTAACTTCATCTGCTTATATTGATGAGATAATGTGGCAGATGAAGTCATAGAAAAGAAATTGGAAGAACAATCTTCTTGGCCGCTGTTCCAACACATGGCCATTGTGTTTTTCCCTTACTCCTTCTTTTCTTTTTAGATAATAATGTAAGTCCCAAGCTCTTGACAGAGCGTGCTGCATAGTTGCAGAATGCTTTGCTCTGTGGGATTCCAAACTAGTTGAAATTTCTTGGCTTTGACATAATAACAATAACAGATATACCCATTACACTACTTTTATAAATGCAAGTGCATTTTCAAAAACTGAATATCACCCTTTCCTGTTTGCTTTGCAGATGAGCTGTGGTATACCAATGGAATTTAACCTTATGCCAAATTTTGGATCCTTGCAACACTGCTCAGGGACTATGAAAGGTTCGACCAGATGAACTTCTGAAGTCCCTTCCAAAATGGGCTGATTCATGATTCCATGATTTATCAAAGGGAATTTGGACCTCTATAGGGCAAGCAACAACAAAGATTGAAGCAGCAAGCCAAGCTGACTCCGCAGGTGATGGATTTCAGTAGGGCTCTAGAAAAAGTTTTTTGGTCCAACATCTGTGGATATAATTTTTCCTATTTTGTTTTACCAAATGTTCAGTAGAAAAAACCAGAGGATTTTACGGAATAACTTATCACTTAGAGCAACAATGGGAAGCAGAATGGAGGTCATCTTACCAGGTTAAATATTTAATGAAACACAACTTCTATATTAATGGTATTTCTCCCATTGATCTTAATAAATGTAGTGATAAAATTGAAAACATGAACAGATTTCTGTACCTTGTGCATTTCCTTTTCTGAATTAACAATGAAGAGGAATTATTTTATAAAGTGCTTATTGCCCTTTAACAAGAGGTTTGGACAGCCAAACAAGGCAATTAAAGGCTCAATAAAAAGGAACCAAAGAAAGTTAACTGAAGGAATCAGGAAAAAATAAGACAAGAAAATAATCTTCTCTGCCTGGATCTTCCTGATCTTCCTGGACCTCTGAGTCTAGACTGAGATAGAGATGGGAAATCCTCCATTGTTCTCAGGTAGCATCCTCAAGATCTTGAGTAGTTGGTGAAAAGCACTGTAAAAGAGATGTTCAATACTTTTGGTAGCAGATTATTTAAAAACATAATCCAGCTGTGTAACTTGGTAGCTTGGCAAACTATTTGTCTTGTTTTCCAGAATCACTAAAAACATACCTTTATATATAAATATATATATACACATATATATATATAACCTTTCACAAGGATTAGCAGACATCATAGTTTGAAAAATAATCTTAAGCTTAAGTGAAAGTATCTTCGTCTGTGAAGTCACTACAATAATCAGGTTTAACATGCTACCTGCAAATCAGACAGGATTCAAGCAGTTTATATTTGCATTATCTCTTTGTATGGTTTTTCCCTCTCAGATAAAAAGGTATTTCACATAATATTTAAGACAGCTTCAGTTTATGTGGTATAGGCTAGAAATCTAGGAAAATTTTCTTCCCGCTGTCCCCCACTGTAAGAAAGACAGAGTCCGAATGGAAAAAAAGTCAATTAGCCTTACAAAAGAATCTAGCTGGCCAAGCTGCATTCCTACCGAATGGCCCATCAGAGGCTGGGGGGAGAGGGGAGAAGTTTTGGGAGGGGGTGGCTGGCTCTTCTGGGAGGGAGAGATCAGATTGGGGAGTTCTCTCTCTGGGACAGAGACAGAGTCTGTGTCCGGGCACTTTTGGAGAGGGGGCCTGGAAGCCGGTCTTTCTGGCTTTTCATCCTGGTGAGGCCTGACCACCGGCCCCGATTGGCTCACGCGCTGCCTTGTGACTCCAGCTGGGACCTACTGGGTTTTCATTGGAGAGTCTCCGTGCTCGCTGGGAGAAAAGGAGGAGCTTTGGGGCGCCATCATCTGAGAACAACGGTGAGTCCTGTGGGGGTGGACTGCTTTTCCTCCTACCCTTCTCCCATTAGGGGAAGGGTCTCCGTTTTCCTTTCGGCTTCTCCCGCGACCCGAGACCACCCCCAGACCCCCTTCCCGCGCGGTGACCGCCAGAGCCCGACAGCGCCCCCTGCAGGCCAACACCGAGCACGGCAGCTCTGCTCCTCCGGCGATCCAACAGCGCCCCCTGCCGGCCGTGATTAGAACTGCGCTAGAGACAGAGAAGTATTCGTTCAGATTTTTTTTGGTTGTTTTTCTTTCTATTGTTTGAAGGGGACTTTTTTGGGGGGTACAGGACTATTGCCTAGTTTTTTTGTGTTCTGTTACTGTTCTTGCCAACATACATATATCTTTTCATAAAGGGTTGTTATTTCTTCTGTTTTTTTCCACACTTCCTCGATTAAAGCCCCTTAATTTTGAATTCACAATTGCTGAGAGAGAGGAGTTTGGTTTGTCTCATAACTCATCCTCTTTAGCAAACTTTCTAGTCTCTTCAAACTGAGACATTATGGTTTTGTGACTTGGAGGAGTGCATATAAAGCTAAGAATGCCAGACTTCCTCTAAAAGCAAAACATTTTCACAGACAAAGCCAATGACTACTTTTTCAGAAGAAAGTGGAAGTAACTATGGAGGAAATTGTCCCACATGCTGTCTCTAACACAAGACCCCTCCGGCATCACCTCTCCACTGTTGTTGGGCAAATCCGAAGGTTATCATCACTGCACCTAACAGCTTGACACATTATTTCTTTTTCTTCTTTGTCACTAATACCTTACTTGGCTGTAGACATCAGGAGAGAAATATCTTCATTGCCACACACAATCCATTGCAGATACCGTCTCTGTGTTACCTAACAAGGTATGTTTGTTTCATTCACAATTTGAAATAATGCAGGGCACAAGTCTGTCTGTTTGTGAAGACCTTGACAGGGTTGAGGGGTGCTTCTGTCTGCAGAGCCCCTGGATCACTGTAAGCTGGGATCTATCCAGGACTCTGGCCTCCCACCAGGACACTGGGCATATGCCACTGCCCAAATGGGAGAGATTCTTCTGTATTTCTACACTTTTACATGATGCTGTGGAGCACTGCTTCCCACCAGGGTCCTGCTCCAATTGGTTTCATTCTGTAAGGATTATCCTTACCTGGATGGCTTTGAGCACACAGAGCTCAAGCACAAGAAAGGTACCATTTATATACTTCTGGTTTACAACATACTTTCTTTGGGAGGCTCACCTATATGATTCATTGAATTTCATCAGATGCAAGAGACCTAAGCAGATGTCACTTGCTGCCCCATAAGTTCAGGTCAAAAGTTAGTCTAATAGATACAAAAATCTCCAGGTTTGAGCCATGCAGTGAATTTTCTATTGGCCTCAGAAGTTCAGAGATCCTAAAAGTACCGCTAGGCATTGGGAAACATCGGGGAATTAAATGTAGGCTGGATGAGCAAGTTATTAAGGCAAATTTAGACAGGCCAAAGTTTCCTGTACTTAGAAAAGGTGAACATGGCTGTTGTCTGTGCTAGTGATGGAATTAAACTGAGATAAAGTGTTGTTTTAAGTAATTTGCTGCTAGTTGTAATGATGCTTCATTGCCACTGCATTAGCAGATAAGTGACTCATCACTTAGGCTATGAGCAACTGGCTTTTCAAGCCACTCTTTCAAGTGGGCAGAAAGTCAGCTGCTGTGATAAGCATGATTTAGTCTCTGACTCCTAGATCAGCATACCACTCTAGGAGCTTATAGCTGAAATATGATGAGCACAATCTGGTTTAAATTAGCCCTGATTACAGATAACTTTCCATTAAATTTTAATGTACAACTCAGAGCAGGTTGGTCTTCTACAGCACCTTGTTTGTTTGGTACAGTGAGTACAAACAACTTATTGAGGCAAAGATTAAAATGAAGAATTGGGCACAGCTGTACCTTTCACCTCTGATGAAATGTGGGACCTTTCCAAACTTTAAGCTCTACTAGGTTGCATGTTCTCTTGATTTGCTTCTGTTGGCAAGGTTTGGTGTTCACAACAGCTTAGGCCACTGTAAATGCCAAGGCTGCCAGCCAATAACAGCTCTGGAGCTGTTGAACATTTGCCAAAAAACCCCTATCTCTACAACTACTGCACTGTTGTGCACCTGTTACAAGGTTCAGGACTGACTATACACACTGTTTCCTCCTTTTTCTTACGCATTACTCTGATTAAGTAGCAGTTCTTTGTAAAGTGCTTCCAGTATTTTCAAAGAGTAATTACTAGTCAGAATGAGTGATAACAATACAGTTCAGGGGTACAGTGCAGTGGTATTTTGCAGTTTTAGAAATTTCTTCTATTAAAATTATGTGGACATCATATCATACCAATTATAATTATATTTTTGGTCTGCTTCAACAGAAATTGAACATATGTTCTACTATTAGAAGGTGTTTCATATTTTTCTCAGCTCTCAAAAATTGTCTCCTGGACAGTTCTCTATAGCTCCACATAAAACACTACCAGTGTAAATGTCATAGTATTTAAGAGTAGCCACAAAAGGAAAATATGCGAGCTGTGATAGGGAGAGAAGTTGTTTTTTTGCTATAAAACATACTATAAGCAGAGCCACAGAACTTTTTTAGCCCTTCCAAATAGCCCTTTATAAAAAGATTTATTTCACAGAACTTAATTTATTTGTGTAAAATAAACCTGTGTTACACATTTTTAGATTAATTAATTCCACCAAAAAATGCTATAATCTGACCTGCTGTTGACTTAACTGCAGGAAATCAGATTTTAAATGCAATATTGACAAAATAGCTAATAAACAAAATAGAAAACTGGAGCACTTACGCACAGACTCAAATTAGTTTCTAGTTTTAGCAGGGAGACTTGAGGTGCAAAAATGCAAAATTTCTGATGACAATTGGTAAGAAGGCATACTCTTTCATCCTTGTATAACTCTTCTTTTTGCTGAAGACATTTAATAGTAAAACACTGTAACCCATTTGGAATACTAAGGCCCTACACTGATTCTCATATACATTATCATGAAATGATAGGTTATATATGAAGGCTTTTACATTTCTGGTTTGATCCTCATAGACAGTGCCCTGAAATAACTCATAACAAAGTGAATTCAGCTGGAGAAATTCTGTAATACAATGGAATTGAGGCACAAAGACGAGCGCACAGTGCACAGACTTCTGTGCCCAGTCTGTAGCTGACTAACTGTGCTTCAGCTGAGACTACTTGGTTGAGTCTTTAAGCACTGCAGCAATACAAATGGACAAGACTAGCAGCTGCATTATCTTTTCTCCCTCTGTATTTCAGGGATAAACATGATATTCAGGAAGATTTTATGTGCTGGCCAGATGCCTTACTTGTCCAAAGTCAGGGTGAAAATCATGTTTATCTGTGATAGAGACAAAAAAATCAAGTTGTGGCAACTTTCCTGCTAAACGAAGTGAGAAACAACACGGAAGAATTTTCACTGGTGTGTTCTCAGTCTCTTCTGCCTCATTCTGACTCCTGAGTTTCAAAAACATGAATCATAGTCAGAGCTTCTAGGGTATTTTCCTTTTGAAGAGTCTCTTTTAAATTCTCATAAAATCTTTAATAAATCTTCAGTCTGGGCAGTGAGCCAAGAAATGATCACCAGGTAATGCTGTAGTCCTGTCCAAGACCCCAGACATAACTCCAGTAGGTCACTAGACTACAGTGGCACAGCCCATGGTACTGAGCAAATGGCTGCAGACAGGAGTTGCTGTCCCAGAGGAGAAAGGAACACTGTATCTTCATGACCATGTATGCAAAACTCACAGGACATGACTGAACCACACCCCTTGATGTGGATTTCCAGGGGGCATTAATAACACCTGGCGT